TTGGAAGTGGATAGGACGAACACTACGGAAATCATCAAACTGCATCACGAAGAGGGCGCTAACTTGGATCCTGAAGGGAAACAAAAAAGAGGAAGGCCAAAAAATAAACTACATCGGGAATTAGAAGTAAGCATGAAAAGGATGAATAGCAACTGGAAAGATTTGCCCAGGGTAGGGTTGAATGGAGAGTGCTGGTGGGAGGCCTATACTTCTCCACGAGGGGTAAAAGGAGTAAGTAAGTAAGTAATTTCAAAGTATCATAAATTTCCCTCAATTATGGTAAAAAACGTTACTTTTTAAAAATACCAAAACGAAGTCAATGAGAAATCATTTATTTTAGTATTATTCGCCTCTTCTCGAATTAAAACTAACAGAATTAGTTATTGGATTAAAATAAAATAATCATTCATATTATAAACAAAGATGGATAGTGATTATTAATGGAATTCAGGACGCGCGTTTCGTCATACCCGGGACTCTTCAGCTAGATGTACATATATCCATGAGTTGATAATCACAGAATGCATGTATATATCCCGATAAGAAACTGATCGATTGTAGTCCTAAACATCAATGGGAAGATTTAAGCAAACAATACAAAAATGGAATTTTAGTATGAACGAAGCAGATCTTATTAGACACTGTAAATAATAAATTGAAATTGATTAATATTTGCTGAAAAACAACCAAACAAACAAAAGTTTGGTAGTTCAGTGTAAAATAATTTTAAAAAATCTATACAGTTTTTCATATGAATGATACCATATGATGAGACTATAAGTTATGAACGACCTCTGAGTGACGCCAGTCTGACCTTGAGAGTCCCCACCTGATAACTAGGACCAAATGAGGCTTATGAACCAATGTGAGGAATTATACTTATAATTTACAGTTGATGATTAAGATTAGGAATTAGATTTCAGGTTTTCATCACGAGCTGACATCAGCAATAATGTCAACAATTCTAATTATCCAAATAGATGAGTGAATTTCGCACCGAAATCTGAGACCTAATTTCTTATATCTGATTGGTTCGTCCATAAATTATAGTCTCGCCGAAAGGATAATTAGGGGGGAGAAGAATAATTGGAAAACGTTTCACCTTCTACCAACATTAAACAATTCTGTAGGCTAATATTAACCGCTTTTTCTCTTTATCTCTCATTTTAAATTAGAAAAATGGAACAAATTTAAAAATCTGATATGTTGATGTATGAGAAACTGTTATGATTTATCGACCGTCAAATATCGTGTGGCAAAATCGCCGATCGGAACACCGACCTTTATAACTTCGCCCCTCTGCTAAACCAAGAGTGCGTTAATCAGCATGAGAAGCCTTGATTTAACTCTGAGTCCTTATTGGTCCTATGTATGGTAGCTTCTCTCTCAGCCTTCGCCGTTCAGTCCAGAATACATTATCAGCCTCCGCTACATGAATTGTATATTTCAGACATATGTGGTTTATATACAAATAAACTGGATCGCATCTCACTATAAAATGAAAAAAATATTAATTATATGAGATCAAGCCAAAAGTGGCTGCGAGTATAAGAGTAAATTAAGAATGATAAGTCGTATAAAAGTAGCCAATAGGTCAAATGAAAGTCTATAATAAAAGGAATATGAATATATATATATAATCTACTTACTTAATAGTAACCCAATAAGAATATATGTAATAATAGTCCATAAATAATCCCTAGCAGTTACCACTCATTTATTCTTCATTCGAATGCAACAGAAACGATGTCGAATGAACTGTTCTGTCAGTTGCAGTAAAAATGTAGTTTTGACCTAATTGACAAGGAGATAACATCAAAAACGTTTTAATACAGACAGATTGTGTATTAGATTTATCGGATTTTGATTGTACTTTCATATTAAGAACCAACTACCTCACTCACCCTGCCAATGTATCTATAAATCTAATTCTTCTGGGGAAATCAGTTGTCATATAAATGATTAAGTTATCGTTTCAAGGAGTAATGTCATGGCATATCAGACAAACTCCATGGTGTCTCTAGGCTATACGATTAGTAGGATGTAGTTGTAGGTGGGCTAGTACAAGTAAGTGAACTACTCATTTGAACAAAGTTATTATGGACATGTTCCTACCAGTTTAGCAAACTACCAAAACACGCGAATTGTAAACACTATTATTTGGTATTTTGTAATAAAACTCTTGAAACAACGTTTGGTTTTCTTTACTCTGGATAGTTCATAGGTCAAGGGTTAAGAATGTCAATAGCAGGGCATAAAGGTTCAACTAGTTGGTACAAATGGATAGAAAATCAACCAGAAAAAAGCAACTCTAACTCAATTTCATGAAACTGGGCATTAAATCAAGTTAAATATTATCTTTAATGTAAAGTATTGTTCTACAAATAATTTGTCTTGGACAGCTTACATTCATTTCAGAAACTTTAGGTATTAGAAACCCAATAACTCAGTACAAGTTCGTTTACTTAGCTGAGATCCACATTTTTAGTGTGATGGCTGAAACTACTCAGTCCCTGTGAATAAGTGGATCTATCGATTTCGCTTAATTATTAGTTAAAATTTATTCGAAATCAACACTAAACACCGTCTTTATTGAACAAATATTGAAGATTAGCTTCGGAATGGATTTCCCAAAGATTATAGTGAAAGTTCATACGTTATTTAATCGACCGGATTCCGCAGTAACTGGTCAATTATAGTTGTATGAATATAAGAATAGATATTGCATAAATTGAAATATCAATCATTAACTCTTGACAGATTTGGTTCAGTAGTATCGTATTCGCCACAAGACCTTTAAGTGACGTGCTTAATTTGTTTCTGTTATATTGTGTTCCGACCCAGGGAAACTTGGTTTTCAAATATAAACCTATTTTTTATCAGTAGAATCTAGAACATTCATATCCTCCTGTTAGGGATTCATCAACTGGATGTATCCTTATCTTAGTACTGATGCCGATACTATTAAGTTTGTATTTTGTCATTTCTTATCAGACTCACTTTTTGTACACCACTTTATACTACTTGCTAATATTCAGTAAACAGTCTATATTTAATAATTTCTGAAAACAGTGTAGTGAATGTTGATCTCTTGTGTAATATCCCTACGTCTTCACATAAACTAATAACATTTACTGTATTTATCATAAAAATTACCCTCCCTCTCAGCCCTTGTAACAGTTGTCTAAATACAACATTCTCCATACTTCTGTGCTCTTACTTCTCATATTGGTTGTTGATAAATTATTGTTAACATTAAACACAGCTACCATTTGCGGTGACATGTCGTAATTACTTTTAATGTTACTATTAGCGGAATCCTTTCTTTTTTGAGATATACAGAAGCGTTAAATGCCTCAGATACCTCATGAGTTGAGGTTTGTAACAAATTTATTTATATTCAATAATAACAAAATCATTCTTCACACAAATAGTTTCTTTTAAACTTTGGTTTGACGCTTATCTCAATCATGTAGTTAGACGCTTTAATAGAATTAAAACATACTAAGACTGGAATTTGATACCTATCGCTTCACACATTTACATGGAATGATCAATTAAAATCCTAAATGCACAAAACCCCCCGGGAAACTAACAATCTTTTGATGAAAATCACGGTTAGATTTTCATTCATCATAATAAAAAGTTTCCGTTGTGATCGAATTCAGTGATGATTTATAGTCGAGTATAAAATTGACAATCGTCCATTACTTTTTAGGCTATATGATATTTTTCAGAATAAGCGTGTAAAAAAGTGATGTGTATTTAAGTAATATTGTAAAATAAAAGAAGAATGTCCCTTACTTAGTGTTTATTGATATTCATATGAAAACGTGTCGGTCAATGGGAAAAACCCATCCTAAAAGGATGTACTTAAACAACAAACCCAACTTCTAGTGACTGCGAAGATTTTCATTATCGGTCAGTAATTAATTAAGTGGTGTTAGATTTTATACTAACAATGTTGGCAGCAGAATCCGACTTAAGGCCTCTTCATCGCTCTGCTGAATAATAAGGGCAACCGTGTTCGTCAACTTGTGCAGTCGGTGGAGATTGGACGAATCCACTACTCTGCTATAACCTTTATTCTCGAAGACCCTACTTTGAGGCACCAAAGATCGTAAAGGGAAATATATATATATATGAACTGCATGAGTCTCGGACTGTTTATGTGGGTACGATCCGGTTTCAACTGTGAATAGAGTTAGAAAGGTAGTCTGCCCTATGTCAAAACGTGGCCTAACCAAAATGAAACAAGTATGTGGACAAAACAAAAAAAACGATGGGTAGCAAATACAAGCGAAGGGTGCGGTGACCACCTACCCTCCCTTAAGACTGCTTATGACCGTGTATGGAATGAAGTGCATGAGCGCAAGCTTATGTGCCCAGTGGTATACATGTAACGCACAAGTGCTCGAAAGTGGTAGCAAATATGAATGAAGTGAGCGGTGGCCATCGACCCTACTAAAGGGAAAGTACACCAAAATGTATGCCATACGATGGATAAGTGAGAACCTCTGCGTTACCTCAATAGATGTGACGTATACTTGTCTCAGGTACGACGCCTGTTAGCCAAGACCCAGTGGTCACGATTTCCTCCTAAAATCACGTACTAATGTCGGGTGTGTGTGCCTTTAAGGATGATATTCTTTATCAGAAAAGCCAACTGACTTCACCTTAATGAAGCTTAACCAAACTCAGTTGGGCTGACACGTAACTATCAATGTTAAATCAGGTCAAAGAAATACTATTTGGTGGCTGAAACTGAGGTAGATCAACCGAATATTGAGAATCTGCACCCAATTTCTGAACTGCTAAACTGCATTGACGGCAACATTGAAGACTGCATCGTTTATTGAGACAATTTAAAAACACTGTAAACGTTTCCTCAATTTCAGATATTTGATTATTCCATGAACGCTAAACCAGCTTACTCTGATATTCCAGTCTATGATTGTCTTCAAAATTCCCCTTTTGTACTTGTGAAAAAAGATCTTGATGCTTTCATCATGTAAGTGTTAATATTTTACTCATAATGAAATATGTATTATTTACTTAGAAACAAGAATATACTGGATGAGAAAAAAAAGGAAGAAAGTAGATAAAATAAAATAGAGGAAAGAAAATTTAAAATAAGATATGTTATTCACAAATAAATAAACAAATAGACACAACCTATATCCATATTAAAGTAAATCGTTAGAATAAGGCACTTTATGAAATAAATATTGCGTAATAGTATATGATCAATCATTTAGATTAATAAAACAATATTGTTACACAAATCCATTGATCAACTTGTATTTTAATCAGAAGTGAGAGAATTAGAGTTTACAATGACAAACACAGAATAGAATATTTCTGTAAGTTACACAGTGTACACAGGATTACTTTGACCACCGTCATCAATTCGATTAGGTATCGAATTCACAAATACTTGACAACTGCAAACAGACAGACATATAAACATGCACAGAAACTATCCTTTATTATTATTTTTTTTTGAGAGAGAGTGACTATTTACAACTAGCCAGTAAGAAAGCAAGGTTAAAAACAAATCATTGAAGTAATAATGATTAACGATACGATGAAGAGTAGACACTACCAATCACCCCAGTCATCACCATCATCATTACTAGCATTATTGACAACGTTTGATTTATTTGATTCACTTTGTTGTCTTTTCGATGATTTTATAGGTTTATCAGTTTTACTAGAATTAGTTCGAGTTGGAACATGTTCAGATGATGACTTTTTTGATTGATAATTCGAATGATTTGTCGACGGTAAGCTTTTCATTATATCTGAAGAATGTGATAATTTAACAGTTGATTTCTTTGTAATTGTTCTCTTTTCAATTGGATTCTCGTTTAGAGTAAGACTATCAAAAAATTCATTTGAATTCCAATCCAAGTCAATTTTATTCTTTGTTTCTTGATTACATGATGGTTGATAATCCCAATAGGATGAAGGTGTAAGTGGGGGAATATTAGACTCTGATAAAATTTTTTTATTTTCTGAGTTATGATTTAATGTTGATTTACTGTCATCTACATCTTCAAAAACATCATTTATATCTAAATTCCAATCATCATCACCACCGTCATCATCATCAGCAGGATTATTAGTATTGTCCATAAGATCCCATGAATTTGATTCTTTGTCATGATTAACAGTCGACTTTGAGGCTGATTTAGGTGAAATTATTCGAGCAGATTTATTGGAATTTCCTAAAACTGAAATCAATAATATTCACGCGTAAATAATGAAACTGTGATGAAAGATGATGGATGATTTGAAAAATAATTAATGATATTAACAATTTTACAAGAATACTTATAGGTTAAATAAGTTAACTCTGATATGATGTAAAACAAAATATCTGGTCTGTGATCAGTTCGCTTTGTTCTAATTTGCGAAACGTGGCCAGTAAGGGTACAGCATACTCGTAAGTTACTAGTATTTGATTACAGATGTCTTAGAAATATTGCCAGTATCTGTTGGGATCATTGGATAAGTAACAGTGAGGTTTGACGCAGGGTATTATGTAATGATGGTAAATCAGTTGATGAGTTTGTGAATCTTCATCGATCGAGATGGTTGGGTCACATGTTACATATGCTTGAACACCGATTACCACGGAGCGCAATGTTGACTAGTGTTGGAGACAGACAGAAGTTAGGAGAGGTCAAACCAAAACGTTGCATCAGTCCTTGAAGTCACTAACTTCTGGTCCGAGTCATGTTGGTAGATGCAGACTACTTGGTTGGGGTCCACGTGACTATGGTAACCAATGGTTGGAGATTCTAGGTGACATGGCTCATAATTGATCACAATCGCGTAGGTGTATACACTGTCTTCCCTTAAACCGTGTGATTAAAATTACTTTATACCTTTCTTTCTACGAACTATTTTTTTCTTCCTGTATTATATCCTTATATATAATCTTTCCTTTATATATTACTACCATTGAAGTAACTAGTTCTATGAATTTGGTGATTATCTTGTTGTGCTAATGAGATGTAGCAAATTGAACCGATGCATATATGTACTTGATCCTATGTTGTAGCTGTTGTAACGGGTGTGACTGCAGGTTTTGATACGCAGCGTTTATATCGATCGACTACAGTGGACACGTAAAACACGTAGTGGACGACCTAGTGCCCTAATTGGCCCTGCTTCGCTGTCTGTCCTAGCCAGTTTAGTCAAGAACACAAGTCACAGCCTCTGAGTTATGAATCATTTTATTTCAGACATACTCTATTTATATACCAAACAAACAAACCACAACGTACCATAAAATAGAAAACAACATTTACACAATATTTAACAAGTGAAACAAATATCGACCAATAGGGAGTGTACATTTAAGGTCCAAGGCCACCATAGACTTAACACGATAATTATTAGTATATTTTTCCGACTATCCTAACAGTAGCTGACCGACTGAGTGGTCTATGATCTGGTTTTAACAAGATATGACCTGAGCACTGATTTAATATCTTGTTAATCGAGTTAAAGACAAGACAGTTTAATTAGGTCATAAAACTATTTGGAAAATAGAGAATTCAGTTTAGATTGTGTAAAAAAAAGATGTGTGAAATTTATTATTTCAATAGAATAACTGTATCTGACTAGGTATTTATTGTCTGCTATTGAATATACTATTGTACGAAAAGTTTTAGTTCATTAACTTAAACACCCAACACACAGTTAAAACCTGCATTATTTACAATCGTTATACTTAGGATGATCACAAAAACATTGCTCATAACTCGAACACATCAAAGTCACTAGCTTGGTAATAGTTCGAGACTTGTCATATGGTTCAAAGAATCAGTTATCAAGCTTGTGATTTTCTGCTCCCTAAGGTGAATAATAAATATAGTCAGGCAAAACTTCTTCACAGGAATTAAACAATACTTACAATAATTCAACGAAAATAATCAAGAATCATTGATCATCTATCAACAGATGTTTGCTACACAGTGTAATATATACTCCTTGTATCCGGATAAAGTTATTATGATATTTGTATTGACAAACTAATCCGATAGAATCTATTGGATATTGTGCATAATCAAAACATTCAGAGTGGTATTTTGCATTATACCCAATTTCAATTCATGATGAAAACTCTAGATCCTTAACGTGAATCAATCATCAATGCATGGACATTTAAAAATCTGATTAAGAAAAAAATTGTCACGATAGTTTTAAGCTCACTTTTATGGTATATACTCTTATTAAAAAGATCATAAATTTGTGAAGTAAAGTGCTGAGTTCATAATTTGTTGAAGATAATGGACTCTTGTTGGAATACAGATATTTTCACAGTCGAACTCATGAGTCGATCTAAGCTAGACCACCATTGAAAACCTTGAAGTACTGGACGGCCGTTTTGTCCTAGTATGGGAGTTCTCAGCAGCACGCATCCACGATCCCGCACACACCAATCGAACCCAGGACACTCGGTATTATTAGAGTATAAATCAAAGTAATTAAATAATAAGTAGTCATTTATAGATAATGACGACAAAATACAGACACTTACTATTATTACTGCACTGTTTTTCTTCAATTCTTTCTAAGCTATTTGAGTTTCTATTGAGTTGTGATGCTGACGATGATAAAGAAGGATCGGACGTTGATTGTACATCTGTATCAAACGATTTTGTCGTGGCTGTAGTTGTCGTTGTTGATGATGATGGTAAAATACGAGTAGAAAATGACAAAGCAGACAAAGCCCATTGAGTAAGTGCACTGGCTGAAGATGCTCCACTTGTACCAGTTCGTGAAGTATTATCTGCACTTGATGTTTGATTATCACTTGTCACTTGATTAGATGTGTTATGTTCACTAGCCTTATTTAAGAAAAGCAAAAAGATAACAACAAGAGAATAACATCAGTACAACATAATATGATAGATAGATATCCAAATAAATTAATAAACGAATGATAAACAATATGTAGGATTTACAGGAAGTGCATTTCTTTATCGGGAACTAACTACTGTGTGCATGAACAGTGATAACTTCTATTAACTGAACTACAAGAGCTAACGATGTACAGATTGTTGAATATTAGATATTTAATTATTGTTTTGTTTTATGAATGGAAATTGCTTAGAAATAGGTTAAGTCAATCATAGATATCAGTTTAAGATCAAATAAATAGTAAGAAATGCTGACTGGTACTGTAGTGAACAGAACACGGGTGGTGACAATCGAATGCATTTAACACAAAATTACAGGACTTGTTAATAAAATCTAACAATCATAAAATAAACGCTTAATTTGCAAAATGTTCACCAATTGTCTCAAAATAAATGAAACTTCATTGTTCCTTCATTTTCATACAAATTGCAATCTGTTTCCATTCTTTACTGTTCGATCCCCTTATCTCTCTGCTTCCAGACCTTTTGTTTACGACCAATATATACTACTTATGTCAGTATAAGTAGCATACACCACAGTACCACCCATTAATCAATATTTAGCTTAATTATCCGAGAGAAATAAATACGTATGTTATTGATTGAAAATTTAGCTTGACTTTCTACGGAACACATCTATAATAATAAAAAAATTTGAGTATATATCTTGGTCTGATTTAGCCAATAAAGGCTTCCTACCGAATCTTAGTGTTACAACCTGGATATACCCACTGGCATTGATGTTGATATAAACAGGAAAAGTTATCTCAGGATTAGCTAACGGTTTTAATATGCTAGTCTACTTAATATAACTTTGAGACTGTAATGCGTGAGTTCGAATGTTGGTAAATTTGAACTTGTACGTATAACTTTTATACATAACAACCAGCTAAGAAAAAAAACACAACTGATTTATCAACTAGCTACTTTCCATCCGTATGATAATAATAATAAGTTGCTTTTAATTTATTTCTTTTGTTAAACTGTAATAGATTTGTTGAGTCGGCTTTCGGAGAAATTCAACGGAGCCTCCAGAGGCCCAAAAGGAGCCGAAGAGTCCTAGCCAATCGGAGTAGGATGAAACATTCGAGAATTCCAACGTGACGTGCTACTATTGGTCGGTAGCATATGTCGTTAACGGATTGCCTGAAATATGATGTTGATTTAACAGACGCCAACATCTATAAATACCGATGATTTTCTGTACAAAAATGAACCTTGGGATAAAGTATTTTTTCTCTCATACTTGCGTCTTCTCTCTGGTGTTCAAGTCGCTGTGTAGTTCTAGCGTGCGGGTCATCGGAATAGCTTAGGAAATAAATATAGCGTTCAGTCGACAAGACTTATCAAGATTGAACCATTATACAAAATTTTACTAATTCTTGTTAATCTATATTTTAATAACTAGTAAATGAAAGTTGATTTGTGTGGAATAAGTCCCCAGATCAATAAGCTGAAATCAATTGAATTCGTTCGAATATCTAATTGTGACAAATTTCATTGAAAATAAGTTTATATAGTTAAAGGTTATTTTATTTATTACCAATCAGTTAACGGTTCAGATTGCTGTTTTAGTTTTGTGGTTTTACCGTTTTGTAAATAAACATTTACCAGAATACTGAGGTTTCTAATCAACTATGCTTTAGTATTAATATAGTTCGAATTCAAATTGTCTAGTATATGAAGAGGCATCGAGAATATCATCAATTTAATATTATGTTGATTTATGACTGTATAGAGAGCAGTTATCATATTCTGCCCCAATTTCTTATGGAAACTATATCAATAACTAATTAGTTGTGAGCATTTCAGCACTATTCGTTGTACCAATAATGATGTAAGACATTTATTAGACTATATACTATAACTCATTTGCCAAATGTATTTATTTATTTATTTGAACACATAAATATTGGTACAAGAGGGCACCAAATATATATGCGCCACACAAAAAACAAGGTAAGGAGAGTATAAGAAAAACAGAACAATAACGAACAGATTAGTTTAAGATAGAGTAATAATAATAATAAAAATGGGGGAAACGGAGAGGTACAACCAGAAGAATTCTTCCAGTTAAGGAAGATACAACAACTGGCTTCTATTCTGAGCCATATCTGATAACGTCTCTAGCCACTGTGTTGCATCATCTCTCGGACCCCAACCAGGGAGTAGTGAAGGGTCAACAGAAGCCAGCCCTTTGCAGCTTTATTTCATACCACGACACCATGTCATACACTGACCACCTCTCCGCTTTATCCAACCAGTCCCGGCGTCCGCAAATACTGCACGATGTGGAATTCTATCGCTTGAGTGCTGTTAGAGGTATGAGGGCGGTTATCACTTCCCGGTTGCCCACACCGTGGAAGGGTTCTTTTGGAGGTACCTGAAAAGGAAATTGGATTAGGGGTGGTCTTAGTGACCTGAGGGCGTGACCGCAGTACCCAAGGGACAATTGCTTCAGGTCGGTCACACACAACCTTTTTATGGGTAATTTTGTGTTAGCTCCGTACAGCTTCGGACCTTGGGTTTGTTGCTTTTAGTCTTACCGCTCTTCAACCGACCTGTCTGACATGGTAGGACCTTGAGGAACGGTTGTTCCAGCCAGTATAGCTCGGTTGCTTCATCACGATAGGCAAGCCCGACCACCACGTCAAGGTAGCAACAACGGTCGGGTGGAATTCTATCGGACGACATTCGTAGAACATGTTCAAGCCACTGAAGTCGATTTTTCAAGATGGTGGCACCAATTGCATTATCGTCTCTGCGATGATCAAACACAGAGAGTCGTCTAACATCCTCAACTCGGAGAGGCCAGGTTTCACAAGCATAGAGCAGAACTGCTCTCACAGACGCCAGACCGACATCACGAAGGTGCCAAAGATGGCCCAGATTGGCATAATGTTATGTCCCGACAAGAATAATGAATAGTAACTATTGTGATATATTGATAAACCAACATTAAACGTATATTTCTATTGTATGATTATTAAGTAACTAAACTATGCATATTCATATTCCTCTTATTACAAGCTTTATTTTGACCCATAAACTATTATTATACGTTATCATTCATGAGTTATACTCAGCATATTAATTACTACCTCCCTCATTCACAGCCACATCTGGCTAATTCTTGTACAAATGTTGTTTCATATTTTATTGGTACGTTGTGGTCTGTTTGATGGAGGTATATAAACTCAGTATGTTTCAAATATGAGGATTCATAATTCAGAGGCTGAGACTGGTGTTCTGGACTTAACTGGCTGGGCTAGGTGGAAAGCAGGACCGATCAGAACTCTAGGCTGCTCGCACGTGTTTGACGCGTCCTTAGTCCGATCGATAATTCATTGCTTCTCATTGGCGGTTTTGAGCTATGACACATAAGCCGCTCTGGTTTTCACTATACGTGCATTGATCTCATCACTCACGCCACCACCAGCACTTATGCAGCTACCTAGATACACGAACTTCTTGACTACTTCTATCTGCTCACCATCCAGGGTGAGTACAGGATTAATTAGGATCCTGCCAGTCTTGTAGAAATACTTTGCACTTCGAAGGTGCAAAGCACATACCGTGCCTACGAACATTGATTGCCAATTGATTAAGTGTAGATTGCATGGCTTGGGCAGTATCGCACGGTAAGTCGATATCATCCGCATACTCAATGTCAAGAAGTCTTTCTCCAGTCAACAGATCTACACCTCCATTACTTACATCCATCAGGGCTGTTTCCAGAATGTCATCGATGGCATAGTTGAAAGGGAATGGTAAGATTGAGAAATCCTGTCTTACCCCACTGCTTGAATGGAACAGTGAAGAAAGGTTGTTGTATGCCCTCACTCTACTTGAGTATGTGGTATAGAAAGAAAAATGAAATAATTTTAATCCCATAGTTTAAGGGAAGACAGAAGGTGTATACACCTACGCCATTGTGATCGTCCTAATATGGGACTCCTCAGTAGTATAAATCCTCGACTCTGCAAGTGGGATTAAAAACCGAGACCTTCGGTTTCGCACGCGAACGTTTAATCTCCAATAACACTAAACTGGGATCCAAATGTGTACAAGTCTAACTTCAATCTGTCCACAATGATAAATTTAGCATCAATTCAATAAATCCGAAATGTTGATTAGGTTCTGAATACAAAAGACTCAGCTTAATATTTAACTATGCTTTGTCAAAAATTGGATCGTACAAGAAACACAGAAAATTTGTCATTAAATAAGGATGTAGTACAAATGAAGCACAGCAAAATCACGGATTCTAATGTGACTATAAATCTGAATTGCTTTTAATTCATATCATATCATCATTACGAACCTAAGGAGTTGAGGCTATCACCCTTCGCTATTGATTAAGCACAACAATTCTTTTTATAATCACCATCATTTAAAAGAGAGATAAGAACACATGCTCTTCCAAGTATTGACGTACTCTAACAGAAATAAATATTGGATACATGTGTTTGTCAGTTGATTTCCATACAATAAACCATGTGTTAAAGAGAAAAAAACTTTCAATAAATAATAAATATTATACACATAACACAGACATATATTTTATTGGTTATGTGATAGGTCATATTAATAGGAAACTAGTTATGTGGTATGGTCTACTTATGTTGACAGACATAAATAGTGTGTAACACGAATCAGAAGCCCTAGCAACAAAAGACTGAAGAGATAGAATTGAAGAATACAGGGATGTAGACAGAGTATGATGGTAATAAAAACAGGAATGAAGGAATGATGAACTTTGTAAGAGAAAACTGATGAAAAATATGCAAATTATGTATTTAATGTATGGACGGAGCTAGAAAGGATTGCCCAGGACAGGGTTGGATGGAGAATGCTGGTGAGCGGCCTATGCTCCTTCACAAGGAGTAACAGGCGTAAGTAAGTAAGTAAGTACGTATTTAATGTATGATTTTCATATTTTAAGAAGACACTCCATAATTTTGCACTAAACGATAAATTGGTCTCCCCCACTTAATTTCTTCGTTCCCTACAGTTATAATTATCTAAATTTTATAATATGTAATAGACAACTATTTGAACCATTTGATAGGACTAAAATATACTGACACAGGATTGAAATGAATGAACATGACGAATCAGAATGACGATAGCGCGATTTCTTGAAAATGAATTACAGATAGCATGCTATGAAAAATCATGTTTTTGACTAGGTTTCATATTTTGGTAAACTTGGATGATAAGATGATCGTCAATCGCTTTGTGTATATGTAGGCAGTAGATGACATGCAGAGAAGATGAGGTTATTACATACTGTGCTACATGTTGACCAAAGTCTACTAAAAATAGCTTTTTTTTCTGGTGAATGTTTAGCTAAGTTTGCACTTGATTATAGTCTTGATAACTGAATGGATTACAGGAGTACAAGTACCCACTACTGCAGCAGTGGGAGTCATTTACACAAACTGTATTCTGATGTTTCAAGGTTGGGATGTCACGGTTAACTCTTAACATCATAATCTTAATATTCTAAAACTATTTTTTAAAATAATCTCATCATTTCTTTTCGTAATATGCAGGTAATTTACCATAGATGATTGTTTGATTCCAAGGTCACACTTAAGATCCCTCATGGTCATCTGTATAGTTTAGTACTACTGACGATCCTTGTATAGTATGATACTGAACTTCTAAAATGGAGGAAACAAGGGCTAATTATTTTTTTGATTGAGATCATGAAACGATCGATGTTAAACCACCGTTGGAAACCTGGAACCACCTGGGAAAACATCATGACCCCGATTTGAAGAAAAAATAAAAGTGTGAAAACAAGCACACCATTCTCACCACGGATGGTAAACTATTATAATATGGTTCGCTGAATAAAATCAATGAAATGACCTATATTTCAGTTTTTCAAACAATCATTTATACGACATTACTTTGTAAATTTCTTAAATGAACACATACAAAATAATCACTTACATGTTCCAATCGATCAAGTATACCACGTATGGCACGAAATGTATCATCACGTATTGACTTCTCTGTATCAGTCGTTAAGAATGACAAACAGGGTAGGACTTTTCCAGCTAATAAATCATTTGTATAATATTCCTTATAAAGAGAAAAATGAATTATAAATTACAGAATAAGTGTTTGTAGTCATGAGAAATTTTTTCAGATTAATTCACTGAAATGAAACTTTAGCTTCCTTCAATAGACACCAGTAGTGAAGAAAAGCATGAGGTAACACAGAACTGACTACCCAATTAGCTTCTAGAATATAAAGATATAAAAAGAAGAAATATACATATGTGCCTATGCTCCATTGGGAGTAACAGGCGTAAGTAAGTAAGTAAGTAAGTAATCCCTAATATGTGAGAATTAATTTGACGCTTCCAGATAAACTCCTACATTATTTGTAGTTGATTAGTTTCAGTGAATACACAACATAATGCAACGTGAATAAGAATTATGCATTCTGAACCTTACTGACTATTAAGATTTTCAAATAACTTTTAACAAACACTTACTCTGTTGCCCGTTTATTTCGACAGATTAGTTTATGCTTTAAAAAAATCCCCAATAAACTTTGTGCCTAAATAAATATAGCTAACAACATTAGGAAAAAAAATCAGTACTACTTAGAAAGCTTTCATTAAACTATAAAGTAACGACATTAAAAGTGACCTGATGAAATAGTACAATACCAGGTCTACTGAGTCACGTGTATGAAGACTTATTTTGAATTACTTCATTACTATATACTATTGAAGTATTCATTAGAACAGGTGAAAATAGATTTCACTTGTATGTTATACTTTTCGCATAATGATATGTTTTGTCTGTATTTATATCAAGCTAATTGTATGGTTTGAGTATGACCCATATGCCCTGGTACGCTCGAGGGCATGCAGAGTCCGCTCTCTCACTTCCGAAGTCCTCTCATATGGCTACGAGTATACAGCCACTGTCAGGGAAGTCCTAATCAATGCCTTCTAACGGTATTACTGTTTTTCATGAAATTGAGAGGATGAAAAGCGAATGTCTGGAGGATCCACTTAAGGGAGTTGGAAAACACTGATTCCAAACCAATGGTACACATGGGCTATAGGATCCTTAAGGAACAAATGGCATATGAACCTATTGTTGTGCTACTGCCTTGTGGATTAATTTCTGATTCAGTAATATACGTACTCGATATTACACATCTCTTTAAAACTTACAGATACAGATCTCAATTTAACTAAGTTTTAATATAACATCAAACAATGGTCGCAATAATAGGCTAATTAAAATATCGTGGACTGATTTCAAAGTAAAACTACAGTAGGATTTGTAGATTGCGATTTCTGGTTACACCGGAGGAACGTAGTGAGAAACATTACGATTTACTCTAAAACACGTAGAAATAAAAAAAACAAGTTATCATGCAAATCATGTTTCTTACTTGTGTAGCAGCTAAGGCAGTTATTGCTGCTTGACGATTCGGCAAGAATGAATCACGAGTTGCTCGAAGAAAAGCACCTAAAATTGGACCTTGTTGTGTTTGTGTTGAAAAATATGATGCTAATTTTGCTAAACATACAGTTGCATTAGTACGAATTCCACCTTGTGCATCCCGTGACTATAAAACAAGGAGATCAGATATAGTTGAAAATTATTAAGAAATTAAGATTTGTAGGAATAAAAAAGAGATGAACGAAATGTTCTATGTTATCATGAAACAACCATTCAGCTTAAAGAACGAAAGTCCACCGAAACAATGATAACATTTATTCACACAACATTACAGAAAAAAGGTTGATACACAGGGACTAAGAAATACACTACAGATTTGAAGTGCTATAAAATTATTTATAATAAAACAATTAGAACTTTTTATGTTTGAGAAGAGTAAACTATGTTTTTCATACGTTTTGTTGTGAAAAGTATGATTTCCGTGAGGGATACAAAACTGGTATGGCGGGAAAACAGGTAACTCTCTTAAAGGACCAAGCCTCCCCCTAGTGATACAGTTTCATGATAGACAGTGATCAAGTTAAGTATATATGGTATTTTTTCCTCAGATTTCCATAGCTTGTTTGCACCGCTGATTTGAAATTAGGACTATTTAACTTCCCTAGATGAACCCTTCATACTCATCATAGAGACGGTTGCTTTTACTTCTCCACTTTTGTAGGGACCTTTTTTCTAGGTGAACTCAGTGTACGCTGTATCTCTGAAACACACATACAGAATCCAAGTACAGTCACTCACTTAAACTCCTTTAGTCAGTTTAGAGAACAAACGAGATTTAATCCCCATGTATCCAGGGTTATGACTGGTACTTCCCGCAGTCTTTCTGACATAAATATACCATTAAGTTCGGGAGCTGAGCAGGCTCTCCTGGACTGGATAGTCGTCTGTAAGCTGTCTAGATAGACGGGACAGTGAGAACTCGGAAAGTTAGAGACACACGGCATTGCCAATTCTTTGCCTCTGCTTATGCTCTAACTAACTGCAGTTTGCATGAAGTACAAGAAGAATTCTACAAGCTACATGATCAGATGTAGTAATAATGGTAGGTGATTTTAATGCCTAAATACGTAACTTAAACCAAAGTGAAAGGTACTTAGATGAGTCTTACGGTTTCGAGGATCAGGGTACAAGTAAAAGCGATCGGTTGCTGAGACTACTCAGATAACCACTTATTTCTGGTAAGCACCAACTAGCCGAAGACTTGAATGCTCAGGTCGGGTGTCTAGGCAAAGAAGAGAGTCGTCCAGGTGGCCGATGGGGACTCGTTGGTCGCAGGACAGATAACAGGGACCGTCTACTGCAACTGCGCACAGACCACAACGTGTTTCTGGCCAGCACTAACTTTCGGCACAGTCATCGCCGATGTGCCACTTGGCGTCCTCCTTCTGCATCTCAAGCCTGGACTCAGATTGATCACATCGCGATCAGCTACCGCTGGCATGGTTGTGTACAAGACTGCCGCTCCTTTTGGAGTACCTATCTGGACTCTGACCATGCCTTGGTCTGCGCCAATCTTACTTTACTTTTCAGTGGACAACGAAGTGACCGCCACCAACGGATTGATGTTAGCAAGCTGGTTGCAACTTCTGTTGCAAGTAAGCATCAAACCGAGCTAGCTTCTAGGCTAGCTAACATTCCATCGAAAAGTATAGATGAGCATTGGTTGCAATTGCATGACGCCATGAAAATGGCGAGTAAAGCCACTTGGGACTTCGCGAAACGTCCCGCTTATAACCAATGGGTTTCTTCAGACTCCTTACAACTCATTGAAGCCCGTCGGTCTACTCCGGGTGACCGTGAGTTTGACCACAAACGAAGGATATTACGTAATGAAATTGGGCAAAGCTTGCGTAAGGACCGAGAAGCCTGGTGGTCGGAGCGTGTAATGAGCTGGAAGCAACAGCTGCATCTGGTAACTACCGGAAGCTCTTCCAATTCATCCGAGCCACTGGCAGCAAGAAGTCTGGTGTGAGCAAAACAATCTGTGAGGATGACGGGATGCCAATCACTAACATCCATCGACGTCTTGGACGATGGGCAGAATTCTTCGAAAAGCAGTTCAACTGGCCTGCTGCTCCGGCAACATCGGTCAGACTGTCCTGCCCTCCATGGCCGGTGACGACTGATCCACCAAATGAGGCGGAAGTCCGCAAGGAACTCCAACTCTTGAAGCGTTACAAATCACCTGGCCCAGATGACTTACCTCCGGCTCTTTTTAAAGATGGTGGTGACTTTCTGGCTAAGGAATTGACGACGTTGTTTACAAAGGTCTGGGAACTAGAGAGTGTACCAACGTCATGGAATGAGTCGATAGTTGTCCCTATCTTTAAAAAGGGTTCACGTCGTTCCTGTAACAACTATCGGGGGATAAGTCTACTTCCGATTGCGTCCAAGCTATTGGCTTCCGTCATACTTCGTAGGTTGTTCAAAACCCGAGAAAGATTGACTCGCGAGGAGCAGGCTGGGTTTCGTTCTGGTCGAGGATGTATTGATCATATCTTCACCCTCCGCCAAATGTTAGAACACCGCCATACTTATCAAAGGCCAACAATCGTAGTGTTTCTTGACATCAGGGCTGCCTTCGATTCGTTGGATAGGACTGTTCTCTGGGATTGTCGATTGAAGAAGGGTGTGCCTGAGAAGTTTATTAACATCCTAAAGGCCCTATATACAAACACCTCAGGCAGAGTGAGGGCATACAACCACCTCTCTCCATTGTTCAATTCGAGCAGTGTGGTTTTTACTCCTACTGGCAGAGTCGTGGATTTATACTACTGAGGAGTCCCATATTAGGACGATCACAATGGCGTAGGTGTATACACTTTCTGTCTTCCCTTAAACTATGGGATTAAAATTATTTCATTTTTCTTTCTGTACCACATACTCAAGTAGAGTGAGGACATACAACCACTTTTCTCCATCGTTCCATTCGAGCAGTGGGGTGAGACAGGGTTGCCCAATCTCACCATTCCTCTTCAACTTTGCCATCGATGACATTCTAGAAACAGCTCTGATGGATGTAAGTAATGGTGGTGTGGATCTGTTGCCTGGAGAAAAACTTCTCGACCTTGAGTATGCGGATGATATCGTCTTACTGTGCGATAATGCCCAAACCATGCAATCCGCACTTAATCAGTTGGCAATCAATGTTCGTAGGCACGGTATGTGCTTTGCACCTTCGAAGTGCAAAGTATTTCTACAAGACTGGCAGGATCCTAATTAATCCTGTACTCACCCTGGATGGTGAGCAGATAGAAGTAGTCAAGAAGTTCGTGTATCTAGGTAGCTGCATAAGTGCTGGTGGTGGCGTGAGTGATGAGATCAATGCACGTATAGTGAAAATCAGAGCGGCTTATGTGTTATAGCCCAAAGCCGCCAATGAGAAGCAATGAATTATCGATCGGACCAAGGACGCGTAAAACGCGTGCGAGCAGCCTAGAGTTCTGATCGGTCCTGCTTTCCACCTAGCCCAGCCAGTTAAGTCCAGAACACCAGTCTCAGCCTCTGAATTATGAATCCTCATATTTGAAACATACTGAGTTTATATACCCCCATTAAACAGACCACAACGTACCAATAAAATATGAAACAACATTTGTACAAGAATTAGCCAGATGTGGCTGTGAATGAGGGAGGTAGTAATTAATATGCTGAGTATAACTCATGAATGATAACGTATAATAATAGTTTATGGGTCAAAATAAAGCTTGTAATAAGAGGAATATGAATATGCATAGTTTAGTTACTTAATAATCATACAATAGAAATATACGTTTAATGTTGGTTTATCAATATATCACAATAGTTACTATTCATTATTCTTGTCGGGACATAACATTATGCCAATCTGGGCCATCTTTGGCACCTTCGTGATGTCGGTCTGGCGTCTGTGAGAGCAGTTCTGCTCTATGCTTGTGAAACCTGGCCTCTCCGAGTTGAGGATGTTAGACGACTCTCTGTGTTTGATCATCGCAGAGACGATAATGCAATTGGTGCCACCATCTTGAAAAATCGACTTCAGTGGCTTGAACATGTTCTACGAATGTCGTCCGATAGAATTCCACATCGTGCAGTATTTGCGGACGCCGGGACTGGTTGGATAAAGCGGAGAGGTGGTCAGTGTATGACATGGTGTCGTGGTATGAAATAAAGCTGCAAAGGGCTGGCTTCTGTTGACCCTTCACGACTCCCTGGTTGGGGTCCGAGAGATGATGCAACACAGTGGCTAGAGACGTTATCAGATATGGCTCAGAATAGAAGCCAGTGGCGATGCTGCTGTAACCTTCTTTTACTTTCTTCATAAAAAGTGGTTGTATCTTCCTTAACTGAAAGAATTCTTCTGGTTGTACCTCTCCGTTTTCCCCATTATTATTATTATTACTCTATCTTAAACTAATCTGTTCGTTATTGTTCTGCTTTTCTTATACGCTCCTTACCTTCCTTTTTCTCTTCCCATTCTCATTGTTTTTTGTGTGGCGCATATATATTTGGTGCCCCCTTGTACCAATATTTATGTGTTCAAATAAATAAATAAGGAAAAAGCACATAAGGTGCAACAGATATGAATGAATGGGGTGGTAACCATCAGCCGTCCAAAGAGGCGAGTATGCATATATGTATGCCATAGGATGCGTAAATGAAAACTTATGTTATCGGTGTCGATGTAATGTATACTAATCCTAGGTGCGATACCCATGTGCGAAGACCCAAGGGGTTTTAAACTATTTCCTCATAAAAGCATTTAGGCGGTGGGTTTATTTCCCTCGAAAAATGAGTCCTTCTGCTAAGAGAGCCAATAGGGTTCCCCAATGAGGCCTAACCAATCTCATGACTGGTACACCGCAGTTAGGAACACGCATATGATAAGTGGATTATGGAATAAGCAATACAAAGTTATTGTAATTATAAATTATCACCAACCTGTAATGTTATTATGTGCTTTATTAAATTCTCATTTAGTAGTTTTGTTGAAAGTTTTGGTGCCAAATGAATCATTGCACGTACAGTTGCTTCACGTACAACCGGATGTGTATCTGTGAAACCAGCAGAAACTGGACCGAAAATTTGTGTTTCTATACATTTTGTTTGCAAATGTTGTACAAAATCAGGTAGATGTTCTAAAAGGCGTACACGTGTTGCACGTTCAGGTGATGAGAACAATTTTAAAAGACATGGGAGAACATAGGTTTGAAAATCATTATCCGATAACAATGGAATAAGACGCAATACAGGTAGAAGAGCATCAACTCCAGCAGATCCATAACGTAAACCATTAACTAAATGAGGTAGTATTTTATGACGGCATACATCATCTGGGAAACTTGTTATTTGTGTGGCAAGATTTTTTAAAAATGTTGATTTTTCCTACAAATAGACAAATAAATAATGTAAGTACAAGATAACGATCATTAGAATGTATTGGAAATTATTATTGATACAAATTTTCTGACTAACCTAATGAAGCATCTTTTATTAGATCACATCTATTGGGTGAGGATCAACGGAATCATGACTCAGTCACTACGACTCAGATGTTTAGAGAAGTAAGGTTCAACTTAGCATTCCTAAGATAGATACTTTTGAGTTCCAGATATGGTTAAGTCCCTTAAAATTAGTTGGTTATCTCTGTTACACATTTTATTTGTGTATTCGTACATATGATTAAGAAGAAAAACAGACGCTCCAATGTCGGCTAATCATAATTCTAAATGATATTAGTGTTTCAAAACAAGAAGATACTGGGTGTGTAAATTCAAGTTTTTTCAATGAGTAGTAGGTCATAACTTAAGAAAAAATCAGTTTGTCAATGAAGTAAAATAATACAACATTTTGCAGATCAATAAGCATTACAAAAGACGTAGTCTCACCAAATTGGACACGTGTATTGATTAAAATGTTAATGATTTAAGAAAACATAAGCCTGAAAATTTTGTAACCACTTATTAGACGGGGTAGCGAAAAGTAGTAATGGTAATTGGTGACATTGATAAGGGGTATAAAGTGCTTGTTTACGTGAGTTGAGCAGCAAAAACTGACATAAGGCCTCTTGCTAGATAGTAGGGGAAACCCTGCTAGTCAACTTAGATGGTCGACGGAGCTTGGACTAACCAACCACTCCGCCGTCTCCTAGACTAACTCGGGTTTCAACTTGAGGCTCACTTAACCTCACTGGGCTACCTGATGTGTATGACAATGCATAAGAATTGCAGAAGTCACGGGTGTATGTTGTTCATGTATATAGGCCTATGCAAAGGGTGTGAACGTCGTGGTACAATGGAAAAGCAAGCTGAAATATTGTTTTCCTTATGTCTAATAAAGTCAGCGGCCTAATCTACCAGGTTGGAGACATAATAAAAAGATATGGTAGCAGATACTCGAAAGAGAAGATCAACAACCTCCACTGAGAGAGCGTTTATGCTTATGTGTATGTTGGAGAGTACAGGGGCGGTGAACATCCACCCTCTCAAGTGGGTGAACATACCTATATGTATCCTATGGGATGCATGGGACAAAATCCGTGTATTACCGGCGTGCATGTAACGCATATTTGCTGACAGGGTAGGTATACCTGTATGTATAGCAATGGATACATGGATGAAAGCCTGTGTGTCACCTGGAATGCATTTAGACTATACCTATCCAGGGTAAATAAAATCTAAAAAAACCTTTACTTACTCTTCTTGGTACGACACCTACACACACCAAGACCTGCAAGGCCGCGATTGCCCACAAAATCACTCCACGCGGTGGGTTTGTGAGCCTTGAAAACGCGGAATTCATTCCAGAAGGACCTAAAGACTCCATCAGTATAAGGATTTAACAACCAATCTGGCTGGAACACCACACCACGCGGGTTAGCGTTAGCTGATATCAATCTGATGATGAAGCTATCTACTCATTAATGAACAATGTTATAGTAATTATTAGAACAGGATTCCAGGGTTTTATTTTCATTCTATCATAAATGACCATAACGAAATGAATTGTAGAGAGGAAATGGATGATCTTGATCTATATTCTTAGTAAAATTTAAACATAAAGCTACAATGAGTTATAAAATACCATTTAAATCTAAAAGCACTGAACTGTTTGGATGGAATAGCGTTCATGAATGTAAAAGACGTTTAGTCAACATTTGGTGACATATACTCAATACTTCTAAAAAATATACAGTATAGTGTAACTTATTTACCAAGGATAAATTTATGTAGTAGACACCCAAATGCCCTGATACAGCCGAGGATGGCGAGAGTCAGCTTTCCCTCTCGAAATGCTCTCACATGGACACGCGTATACAACCACTGCTAGAGAAGTTCTATTCACTACCTTCTAGCGGAGGGGGTGTTGTTTACGAAATTGAGAGGATGAAAAGCGAATGTCTGGAGCTATAAGTGGGTTGATGAACACAGAAGATCCACCTAGAGGAGTTGGAAAACTCTGATTATAAACCAATTGTGAACATGGACTGCAGGATCCTAAGGGAACAAATGCGTAGCATCCCAGCCACCACACGAATCGGATAGCGAAATGTGGCGAATATTTATTCGGTGCCCCTTTGTACCAATATTTGTGTTCAAATAAATAAATAGTTTCAAGTCACACTTTACGTGTGTGTTGGTGATACCAATCGACCAAATAAGTGAATTTGGCCTTTAACCTGTGAGTCAATGACTAAAGGTCAAGTTTTTTAAACACCAAGCTACAGCTTAATTCACAAACCTAAATGAAGCCACAGAGTTAAGTTTTAACAAGAACAATAACATAAGAGTTTAACCACAATCACAAAAATGAAGTGATTTTTCTTACCATACTATCCTTTAATTCAATCTCTTCTAAAAATAATAATGTATCTACGTAATCATTGGCTAAAAATCCTTGTTTTTCTGAATTACGAGTTGACTGGAGAAATTGAGACACGGTGAATCGTTTCACTCCACCTTTTGTAGCACTTTGAGCAATGAGACGTCGATAATCATGTACTAATGCTTTAGGAATTCTCTTCGAATATGAAGATTCAATTAACTGAGCGCGATCTTTTAATATTGAAGACGGATTAAATATTTCCCATATTAAACATCCCAAACCCCATGAATCAACGAGACGATTGTCTGGAGGCATGTACGGATCTATGGAAATAGAAAAACCTCCATCATGAAATCATTTATTAAGGATTTGAAAAAAGCAACGAGGAAAATGTACGTATTTATAAAACTAATTAAAACCAAGTAGTAACTGCGTCATTTATATAATTTATGGTAGAAAACAAAGAAAATTTACAAGTGATACATGTAATTTAAGTGGTAATAAGTATAACATGATTGTTGAATAGTGGCTTTATGATTGAAATACTTCAATCAGTGACTTGGAGGTTTGGACTGTAATTCGTGTTTGGATATTACATTAGTATTATTAGCCCTTACACAAACTATGTGGATCATAGATACACTAAAAAATCTGCTTTTAGTAAATAAGTTAAGTCAGTCAGTAACAACGTAGAACTTCGTACGTATGTACATCAGTTCGAGTTGCCACACCACATTAGCACAGAGATGCAGTGGTCGATTCAAATCCCGTAGTGGTAGAGGTAGCAAGAGTATAAGCAGTAATCGGGAAAATTAGGGCTTGGAGATGTTATTTAAAGAGTATAATCCAGTGAAAGAAATTTGGAAAGAGGGAAAAAGGGACATGAAGAATTCAGAAGATTAGAGTTTGGGAGAACACAGAGAGTGGATGCACCTGCGCCATTGCGAACGATTTTGAGCCATGTCATTCAGGGTCTCTAACCATCGGTTGCTGTCATCTCGCGGTCCCCAACCAGGTAGTCTACACCTACCAACATGACTCAGTTCACTTGTCAGTGACTTCATGGACTTGTGCCATGTTTTGGTTTGGCCGCCCCTAGCTTTCTTCCAACCTACTCCTATACCACTGAACATAGCACGTCGAGGCAGTCGGTCGTTGGACATACGTAACACGTGTCCCAGCCATCTCAACTGATGAAGTTTCACTACGTCATCAATTGATTTGCCATCCTTACCTAGTACCCGTTTCCTAACAACTGTGTTACTTACTCGATGGTCCCATGATATACGAGCAATGTTTCGAAGACACCTATGATCGAATACTAGTAACCTACGGATATCCTCTACTCTTACCGGCCATGTTTCACTGCCATAAAGTAGGACGGAACGAACTGCTGCGCAGTAAACACGTCCTTTGGTTGATAGACGGATATCTCGCCTACGCCATAAATGACGCAAGTTGGCAAAAGCTAGTCGAGCCTTCTGTATCCGTGCTGAGATTTCGTCACACACCAAACCACAAGGGCTGATGAGACTTCCAAGATAAGTGAAGCGGTCGACACACTCAACTACTTCACTTCCTATCACTAGTTCGGGTGTCGATGTAACCCAATCCTGAAGCAACATTTTGCATTTCGAGGGAGAGAATCGCATCCCGAACATGCTTGCATTGTTGCTTAGAGTGGTCAGAAGACTCTGCATTTTGTCAGCGTCTTCACCAAATAAAACTATGTCATCAGCATACTCTAAGTCAACAAGTGAACCTCCCGGTAGAAGTTCAACCCCTGTAAATTTAGATGAGGAGAGTGTTATCTCTAAAAGTACGTCAATGACAAAGTTGAACAAGAATGGGGAGAGTGGACAGCCCTGACGAACACCACTTGAGGTGATCAATTCTGATGACAGTTCGCCATAAGCTCGCACTCTACCAGTTGTGTTCGAGTAGAGAGCCTTTATAAGGTTAATGTACTTCTTTGGTACTCCTTTCAGTGACAAACACTGCCATAGAACCTCACGATCAACGGAGTCGAATGCCGCCTTAAGGTCGAGAAATACTACCATTGTGGGGCGTCTGAACGTATGTCTGTGTTCTAGAACCTGACGTAGTGTGAATATCTGATCTATACAACCACGTCCAGGTCGAAAACCAGCCTGGTTTTCTCTAGTCTGCTCTTCACGAGCTTTAGTTAGGCGTCGAAGTATTATTGAGGCAATATTTTAGATTGCAGTCAGTGGGAGAATAGGCAGAGACGACGAAGAGGCAACGACGAGTGTCCCTATCTTTCCGGATTCTTACTGTTCCGTTCAGTCGGACAGCGCACAAACGACTGTTTACTGGGATCCACTCTAAGAGAGCTAGTTCTGCCCTAGGACTCAATGCTATACCTACGCCGGCGAGGCCACGGGAAGCAGAATCAGGGCTTCCAGATACACGAAGCGTAAATCGAGTCGGTTCTTTATTTTGGCATGGTGAGGTCAAATGAACGACGCTACTCGGATCTTGTATGCGCGTTTCGGAGACGCAGCACACATCGATGGCGCGAGATTCTAAAGTCCTAGCTAAGGAAGCCTGCTGTCCTATTTGGCACAGTGTTCGTACGTTAAAAGCTCCTACGTGTAGTTTAGAGCGTGGTTTCAGGAGACCAGGAATGGCGTTCCACGTACTCGAATCGTTTGCCCTAGCGGTGCGAGGTGATAAAGAGACGTGAGGAGGGTTAGTCGGGAGGATAAGAGAGGTATTAGGAGGTGTAGGAAGGATTTGAATGTGACCACCTTGGTCTCTTGTGCTGTTACGGGTATGAGGGCTGATGTCACTTCCCGGCTGTCCACACCGTGGAAGGGTATTTCTTGATGAACCTGAAAAGGAAATTGGATTAGTGTTGGTCTTGACGACCTGGGAGCGTGACCGCAGAGCCCAAGGGACAACTGCTTGAGGCCGGTCGCGCACGGCCTTTTTGTGGAAGGTTTTTGACGTGTTAGCTCCGTTCTTCAAGGGGCCTTACCGCCGGAGACGGAAATCCGTGAGGTAAGGTGTGCATTTTTAGGGTCGACCTTTTCTAACCCCACCCCTCCTTGTGGGAAGGCAGCATCGCTGTCATGCTGGTTGTCCGAGGGAAACACCTTACTGCTGTCACACCTCTCTACAGTCAGCAGTACGACTTCGCCCTCAGACCTTGAGTTGCTGCTTTTAGTCTTACCGTTCGCCAATCGACCTGCCTGGCATGGTAGAACCTGCAGGAACATATGTTCCAGCCAATATAGCTCGGTTGGGTCATCACGATAGGCAAGCCCGACCACCGCGTCAAGGTAGCAGCTTCGATCGGGATTTATTAGCGTAGTGGCTTTGAAGATTTAATGGAAGCGGCTATTATAAAATAATATGCTAATGACTATTCTAATCAACACAAAACTTGCGAAGGAATAAAAATTCGAAGAAAAACAGTTAAGTTGTATTAAGTCCTTAGAGTATAATTATCACGTAAGAATATGAGGTATCGAATTATGGATAGAATAGGGTTAGATGTAAAACTTTGACTCTATAGTTATTGTAAGAAATAAATCTCATCACTGTTACAATCTGCCTATACAAGAGTGTTGCGATAGTTATAGTCTATAGACAGTGACACAGGTGAATTGTTTGTCGCTTTTTAGATCCTCAGTTGTATTATGATTTCATACTTTTCCCTTCTCGATTTTAATCATTATTTTCAGAACATATATTCCAAGTTTTATCTTTACCATTATAGATACCATCAATATGTCAACTTCTTTGCAATTTATTCACTTAATTAACTCCCTTTCAGTGTGTAGATAGATGTTAACTGTAGTAAATAGGAAAGATATACATTCGTGTAAGACCAGGTTCAGTGTTTTAAAATTTATGGGACAAGCGATCATATCTCAACATCACGGGAACTTTTTCTACTTTAGATATTTAGTGAAAAAGTAAGAATTAAAAATGACCTCGAAAATCATTTATTTAAACACATTAACATTGGTACAAGGGAGTGCAAAAAATATATATGCCACACTTCGTGTGAGGGCTAGAATACTACACGAACTTCCAAACCGAAGCAGGTGGTTTTCTTAGGGGGCCACACCAAGAGCCTTGCACCTACAGGTCTAATCCAAAAGGCAGTGGAGCGACACCAGGAGATGTAGTCTCATGGTAGCCAGTGACCAACAATTGGTTCCCTCAAGATTCCGTAGTCCGTGTTCACCATTAGTTTGGAATCAGGGTTTTCCAACTCCTCTAGGTGGATCCTCTGTGTTCACCAACCCAAACATCCGCTTTTTATCCTCTCAATTTCGTAAATAACACACCCTCCGCTAGAAGGCGGTGTGCAGGACTTCCCAGGCAGTGGTTGTATACCCGTAGCCTTACGAGGGCATTTCGAGAGGCAGAGCTGACGCTTTTCACCCTCGGCCGTACCAAGACTACTATTTTTAAAACTGTTATTGGGTTTAGCTTGTTTTCCAATGATTTGAAATCATAGATACAGAGGTCTTTACAAAGTTGACTTAAAATTCCTCTCACATAAATCCGTTTATTCAGTTAACGATTCAACCACTTCTATTTCCTATAGTTAGTTGACTAACACGTATATGAGTAAGTACAGTTTACTATCGATTATGACAAAAGATTGAAGTTGAAAACAGTTCAAGAGTGTGTTATTTACCAAAAAATGATCTAAGGGATGAAAAAGTCTCTAAAAAGTAGGACATTGTATAAATTTACCTGTTGTATTTGCATCCACAAAACCTGCTGTTTGTCTAGTAGACGGTGGAGGTTCATTGACAGGTCCGACAAAATCTAAAGCGCCTAATTTCCATTCACCAGCTGTAGTTACAAATACGCTATCTAAACGCACAGCATTATGTGCCAATTTACCGTCATCATTTAAGAAAACTAACGCTTTGGCGATCTACAGATGAACAAAGAAAGGAAAATGAAAATAAACAAACACTACACTATTGTTAGAAACAGATGAAACAAAGATAGTCACATTATGACTGTTCATCCAGTCAGCTGTCATCAACGTATGGTCTGGCAGAGATGAGAATTGGTTCGAGTTCCCATACCACATTAGCACAACCAGGTGAACACCGAAAGAGATCGAAATAACGAAGTAGCAACGATAACAAGAAAGACTGGACATTGAGGATATGGTTCGAAAAGGCAGAGTAACAACGTGTATATAAAGGAATATAAGAATTCAATTTTGAGAGGAAGATAAAGGGTGAATACGCTTGCGCAATTGTGAACAAATCCGAGTAATTCCACCTGAAGTTTCCAGCCCTTGGTGGCTGCTATTATTGATTGAAAATGAAGTGTTTAAAATCTCATACAGTACCTATCGACAAAAATAAGAATAATCTCGGTAAACACTCAATTTCAAAGTTAACTTCATATCCTTCAATTTACGGCTCAGAATCATTGGTAATTATGGGTGAAATTGTTATAACTTGTGGCCTGTGTGCCCTGTTAATGTATACGTAATGATACCGCCAATTAGAGAACAGTGAATTATCGGTCGAACCAGTGACGCATAAAACCCGTACGAGCTGTCCAGAGCCCTTATCGGTCCTGCTTCCTGTCTAGACCTGCCGGTTAAGTCTAGGACACTAATCCCAGCCTCTGCGATATGAATCATGTATTTCAAGCATACTGGGTCCATATACCGACCAGACAGACCACATTGTACCATAAAATAGGAAACAACATTTGTACAAGATTTGGCCAAATGTGGCTGTGGGAGGTAGTAATTACTAGACAGAGCATAATTCAAGAATGGTAAATCGTAGAATAATAGTTCATAAATCAAAATAAAGCTCATAATAAGAGGGACATGAATATGTATAGTTTAGTTATTTAACATAAAAATATACGTATATTATTTGTCCATAAACGGATCCCAAAAGTTACCATTTATTATGCTTGTCGGGACATAACAGAAATCACTCTTCACCTTTCTCTACAGTTTGAATATTTTAACAATCTAAGTTTATTTATTTTTCATACACTGATGTTTCTTTGCTGACTATCTCTTTTTTATGTTATTAAGACTCGTGTAAAGTACCGTATGTTATACAGGTCAAAATTGTACTAAAAAACGTTAATTAAACTTTTTAGTAAATAAAAAAGATGAGAAAACGTCTAAAGAATAAATATTTCAGTTAGCATAGGATTGATAACAAGCGAAATAAGACCAAATTAGGATTTTATAGTTTCAATAAAAGATGCTGAGTTCGAGTCTCCACATAAGAATATCAACATTGGTTTAGACAGAGATGAATTTAACCAACAAACTAGTATAGAATGTAAAAGAAACATTTACCCTTAACCCTATTGTAAAAGTGAGAGTGCTCTCATTAATAACAATACAAAACCATTTCTAACACACATACAATTGATGTGTTAATAGAAAATGTTCAACTTGTTTTCATAACTCGACCGAGAAATGATAAATCCTGTCACATACAATATATATATATATATATATATATATATATATATATATATATACCGTCTGGATTTCATTATTTACCTGGATTAATAGAAGGGATTCCTCCCATGAGTATTAATCAAGAATATCTTAACTTCAATTGCTTGTGAAGTTGACATCTAGATTAGTGCGAAAAGGTTTGCATATCGAAATACATAAACTTGAAGCATTAATATAGTAATATTCACAGTCCTACTTTCACATATTTCCCGAGAATACGCAATTTTTCCAAGATATTCAGATTAACTCCAACTTTATGGATAATGCTTTGGCTAATAGGTTTAAATACTGTAGTGAAAGCAAACTCACATGGTGGGTTTTTATTACTACAATGTTTTCATAAAGTTTATACAACTTCATACTACTGCCAAAAATAAAACATAAATCAACACCCAAAGAAACGGTTGCAATAGAACTATTTAGCTATTTTATATTTATAGGTTTCAAATGAGAGAATGGTGGAATGATGGTAAGAAACATTTATCACTACGAGATAATCCAATTATACTCATACTTAAATGGCTTTATCGTTTAAGAAGTCTTCTATGAATATATACCAATAAGTATATAAAAGATATGCACCAAATACTCAAAAACTACAAGTGTATTAGAAATTTAACTTGACGATTATTAATGTTAAGCGAGTACACAATTAATATCAATATGTAACCATTGTTGGAGTAGTTGGGGTCTTCGTATCCTGGTTCGAATTGTCGTTAACATAGTTCGCGGGTATCTCAGATCATAACAAAATATATACATACTAAGGTACAGATGAAAGGTAAGTAAACATATGCACGAATGTGGTCACATAGTGTTGAAAAATGTTTCGAGCTGAATTCCGAAACAATCGTTGCTGGTGAATTTGTTTTACTACAGTATGGATCCAAACAATATGTAGCAAATATTTTCTTGTTCATATTATGGTAACGCTTAATTATGTGCCAGCCTAGTGCCATCGACTTGACGTTACTAAATATAATAAATGCAAACAATTACAACTGAATGGAAGACTAGTAACCAAATCACTGGAAAGTGTAAACAATCACTGAATAGATAGAGAACATCTTTATAAAACTGTACGGTCAATTATGTTTTTTTTTAATAAGGACTGAAAATTTCTAACTCACACTTACTTAGATGACGATACATAGATTTTAAAAAAATTAGCCATCATTATTGAAGAAAAATGAACACTAAAAATTGGAACACTGGTTTCTCCTAATAAATATTTGGCACTGTCATAACTCCTCCTCGTCACCAGAAGTATGGAAATTAAGATTATTAAGCTTATCTACTAACAACACAGAGCACCCCGGCAAGCGATTTAAAATAATCTATCAAGGAAATGACTCAAGATCTAGAGACGGTTAATACAAGCAGAAAGTGGAAATAATTCTTCATGACCAAAAAATGCATTTGACCCAGATAACTTATGAACATAATGAGACATAATAACGATGTCCGAGTAGGGACAATCGTTGGATTGTTGAAAATTTCGAAAATAAACAGTGGACAGAAATTCATCGAAGTTTGTAACATAACGAAGAGCGCAAGCTGACAAGAAGCCTACGCAATGATCGTGAACAGTGGTGGGTAGTGAAAGCAAGAGAGATGGAAAAGGCAGCGGCAATAGGTAATAGCAGACAATTGTTCAGACTCGTTAAGGAAACCAATATTAGGGACTCGACTGTTAGCGAAACAATCTCAGAGAAAGATGGATATATACATTCTCAATCCAGGAGATTGGATCGATGGGTAGAACACTTTAGGGATCAGTTCAACTGGCCTTCAGCCACACTTCGGTTTCCCACGATCTCCAGTCAACCTGAATGGCAAGTTAATGTAGGTCTTCCAACTCTTTACGAAGTTGAAAAAGTTATAAGAACTCTGAGACGAGGGAGAGCAGCAGGCCCTGACAGGTTTACTCCTGAGATTTTTAAGGATGGTGGTTCAGTATTAGCAGTGAGATTAACTGAGGTCTTAGGTAGAATTTGGGAACCAGACGTAATCCCATCTGACTGGTCTCAATCACTGATTTTGCCAGTCTATAAGAAAGGACAAAAGTCCTCTTGTGACAATCACAGAGGAATCAGTTTGACTAATATAGTGTCTAAAATATTAGCTTCAATAATACTTCGACGCCTAACCAAAGCTCATGAAGAGACCCTGAATGACATTGCTAAAAATCGGTTGCAATGGCACAGGTGCATCGACTCTTTGTATTCTCCAAAATTCTAATCTTCTGAATTCTTCATGTCCCTTTTTTTCCTCTTTCCAAATTTGTTTCGCTGGATTCTACTCCTTGAATAACATCTTCAAACCCTAATCTTTCCGATTACTGCTTATACTCTTACCACCTTTACCACTACTGGATTTGAATCGACAACTGCATCTCGGTGCTAATGTGGTATGGCAACTCGAAATGATGTACGTACGTACGAAGTTCTACGTTGTTACTGACTGATTGACTGACTTGTAACTAGACGCACGCGCAAGGTTGTGCTTTGTCATAACATCGAGCCTATGTAACATAATAGTAGAACACTAAAAATCTCCAGAGTAAACACACAGATTAAAGTTCAGCAAAATCATTGATCCTTCTTAGGTCAAACTACTCTTCACACATAAATATTTAAATCATGTTTGATAATGTCGAACAAAGAAATATAGTTTTTCAAAAATAGACATAGTTCAGTAGCATTATAATCTATCTACCGATACCAACCTGATGTATACCCCATGAAGAGAGAAGGTTGAAATTTCCACAATCTGCTTTAATGCGTAGATATTCCCGTAATGGTAGAACACGTTCCGTAACAAAGCCAATTTCATTAGGTAATTTCCCTGAACCAATCTCTGATCCACCGATCCAAGTAAGCATATTTGGATGACGTAATGTTTTCATCCACTTGACTGTGCTTTGAAAAACAGACAGAATAGTACTAGCTTCCCTGGTTGCAGCATTCGAACTTAGGTTGCACACAAACAAAGTAACCTCTTCTTTGGTTTTCTTTTTCTGACCAGGGAGAAGTCGCCATTTGAAATCATATGGACCATAAATCGTTCCTAATGGTTCTGAGTTGGGTGGGTCAATAGAGAAACCAGGGACTGGGTCATGAGAAAAGTTCAAGCCTAATGAGGTAGCTGATCCCAACAAGCTGTCTGAATCTCTGTTAGTAAATAGCCACATAACTTGGTGGACTATCCTTTACTAGTTTTCTGTAAATTGAACAAAAGATTAAACTAACAGTAATAAAATAAGGTTATTCACGGGTATATATATATATATATATATATATATATATATATATATGAGATAATAGTGGCTCATGTATTGATATTTTTACAAGTGGTACAGAGAGAATAATACTGTAAAAAGATGTGCGAAAACAAGAAAATATAAAAATCTGATTATTTTATTCGGCGAACTAGGGAAAATTAGCCTGATTTCAAACCTAGACGTGGATGTATTGACCATACAATCACTATTCGTCAAGTTTTGAGATAAATATATCGCCGCCCGACTATGGTCGTGTTTCTCGACTTTGAGGTGATAATCAACTCTATCGGACGAAAGATTGTGGCTGTTTGTCATTGAAAGAGGTACCAAATTACATACAACATGTGAAGCATCTCTACCCAGATAATATTGTTTGAGTCAGAGGTATTAGGAAACTGTCACCAGAACTATCGACCTCAAGTGATACGCATTAGGTTTGATCTCTATTTAATTTCATCATAGATATCTCCCTGGAAATAACACTCTATCGAACCTTTTGGACTGACCTCTTACAAGGAGATCCATTTATGACAGTTCTGTTTAGTGGAGCTGACAAGGTGAAGGCTGATCGCCTTAAAGAACAATGCCAACATGTTTGAGACGCGATCCTTTCCTAAATGGAAAATATTATTTCAAGACTTCCCTGAGTCAACGTCTGAATTAGTGATAGGGAATGGAGTAATAATAGTAATAATTCACTTATGTTGAGTCTCATTGACGCTGGTGGGTTGGTTTCTGCACAAATTTCGGCGTATATTCAAAGCTCGGTTGCCCCTCGCCAAATCGTGGTGTAGGTGAGATAGCCGTGTGGCGTTTGTATGAACTAATGATTCTTTTGTACTTGATAACTACTTGATTTCGAATTCCAAATGCAATACGTTCGTTTGTGCTCATCTAATACCTCTTAGTTAAATTGCGTTATTTCTGAGATTTCTAGTTTGTATGATAATTAAAGTACTCCTAATTATCACATTGGCGTCGTGATGGAACGGTTGGACGCTTTTGAAGACTACATGGAAAGGTTCGAAATCTGGGCTATGACCAACGAAGATGTTTAGAATATTAATATTGTGGCTCATTTCTTTACATTCACCGGTGTATACACTCTCTGTCTTCCCTTAAACTAAGAGATTAATATCGCTTCAAATATTTCTTTCTACGAACTAATTTTTTCTTCCTGTACTATATCCTTATTGCAATCTTTCTTTTATATATTACTACCTCTGAATTAACTACTTTTATGAATCCGGTGTCCATCTCGTTGTGTTAATGAGGTATGGCAACTTGGACCGATGAAAAGAGGTATACAGCTTATTAAAAACTGGTTTTACCAGTAAAGCCCATTTCACTTTCTTATGCAACTCTCAACGAACTACTGCTAGGCTATGTAAAGTATACAGATTTCGAATGAGGTAAAGGAGGAAAATTCCATAAAATGACTCGTCAAGACATGAGGAATTCCACTACTTTACTACGTCGTTTCAGTCCAATGAGTAATCGAGGTTATTTAGATAATTCATTGAGAAGTTGCGAAGCAAATCAGGAAGTTTGGTAAATGCTTGTTCTGGGGTAAGTTTCGCCCGTGTAATTCATGTGCATTTTGTAATACCAAATGCTTTAAATGTGGTAAAACCGGACACATTTAGTCAGTTTGTAATACTATTATTCGTTTCGCTGCAAGCAATGCTAAATTTTGTAGTTCTGTTCGTATTAAGCTGGATGTTTCTAATGATCATTTATTTCTATCCATCTCGAAAAACAGTAGTCATGTAGCAGCCCAGAATTAAATGAAACTCAGAATCGTTGTAAGATAAAAGCTTCTAGTCAATCAACTTTTTATCGGATTTCTCATGTTATTGTACCAGATGTGGCTTGTCCTAACGATTCACATATTTCTAATGAAATTTTTTACAAATCTGAGGAAAATATGTTGAGTGAAGCAAATCGTGATCAAAAATCTGACGCAGTTTTGATCGATGCTGATTTTTCTAATGGTCCATTATCCCCCAATGACATTTCTAATAAATTCGAAGAAAATATTTCAAAACAATCAAATCTTGATGCCATGTTAAGTGTTATTTGTCTTTATGATGCATTTGTTTCTTATGAGGAACTTGCGAAGCACAAGTCCTAAACAAGCTTGATTTTGATTACAATTCGGATGATTTCATATCAAATGTTGTTTATACTTATCTTGAAGTTACTTCTAAGGAATTTTCTAATCAATGTGAGAAATAGGTTATAAATCAAGCCACGCTATTCATAACTTGAGGATATGAAGATCCAACATTATTTCGTGGGGGAGGATAGTATTGGAAAATCTATAGTTCAATGATTTCAGTACACAACAAGCATGGTGATTACATACAACTCCAAGACCCAGGTGATTCCGTTCTGATTTCAGTTGCTAATTCTAATACTAGAAAGTATATTATAGATCATACAGAGTTTACATCTAATAAACAATCAGACAGACATATGATGAACACAAGGAGAAGCACGCTGATCGCAGAAATTTGGATTTTTATTTAAGCTGTGATGGAATCGGTGTCTGTAATGAACTAATGATTCTTTTGTACTTGATGACTGCTTGATTTCGAATTCCAAATGCGATACGTTCATTCGTGCTCATCTAGTACTTTTAGGCTAAATTGCGTTATTTCTAGGATTCCTAGTTTGTACTATAATTCAAATACTTCAAACCATGACAATCCGTCTGTCCACTAAAGGACGATTCGACTGCTCAGCAGTTTTCTTTACTCTACAGACAAGCATTCGCAAATTTCATAAAAGTACTTTAATTGATTTAAACACCAACCATACCTACCAAAAATGATCGCTAAGTGATTGAGAGTAGTATGAAATCATGGCACTAAACCTGCATTGAAACTTTCTATGGGTTACAGATCTAATCCACAATTATAGGTTCTCCTAAGATATACGACAAGATCAGGAAAAAATAGTGGAACCCAGTAATCAATGCCGTTAGTCTATACGGTATGTGAAGGGGTATTAGGACGTTTATGAATGGTTCAGGGACGCTCTTGCCTAACAGACAATGAATCACTTCCCAAGGAACTGAAAATAGCGTATGTTAACAAAAACTGGTCTCTATTTAGGCTCCATAATTCTTTACCACCACTGCTTTACCAAAACTTTAAACATTTAGCATTAGCGATATATTCGTCGGTGCATCCTAAACCACACAGCAAAGCAGACTCAACTAGGAATGATTTAATAATTTTTTTGACAGGACATGAATGACGATATGAACCAGAACACTCAGTTTATAAAGTGCATTCGTTGAAGCACCCTCTTGATGACGTTTGTTTCCATGGAGCCTTAGATTACCCGCCTCTAGATTTGAGGTCTTATATGAAAGGGATCAGGAAATCGGCACATAGCATTGCTAAAAATGTATGTTTATTTAATTCCAGAATTCACGGGATTATTTCGCCTCAGAATAATAACACTGCAGTTCAAAAAGAGCGTTATTTTCGAAATTTATTACTATGTTTAACTTAATTTTTTTAATAAAGCTCTCTCTGACCATGGATTTACTTTCTTACTGACATGTGCTAAGTTGAGACTAATTATGTCGTGAGAGCGTGTCTGATCTCATATGCAATTAAAATTAGGACATAGTCTTAATGAATATCGCATCACCTGTAGTTTCTTTTGTAGACCTTCGTAAATGGAAGTGGAACTTTTTACTTACGACGAATTTGTGTGACGAGCACCTATCTACTGATAATCACCTTGTAAACTATAATGTCATTTTCCGTCAGTGTCTAACTGGCGAGACGAAAGTTTATGGACGAACAAACACGTATAGGATAACAGGTCTTGGATTTTGACACGAAATTCACTCATTCAATCGGATGAATAGGTTTGCCATTATAAGTGTCACTTCTTGATGAAAACCCGAAATCTATGAAAAGTGGACAACTCGATATGTATTTAGTTGGAAATTAGACAACTTAGTGACATTTCAAACACAAGGCGACAAAAAAGGAAATTTCGCATTATTTTTCAACGACAAGAAAAAAAGAAGACTCTTTGGCGAATTTTTCCAATATTTAACCTAATTGTTTAAAAGAATGTCTCTTTTAAAAGAGACATAATAATTATTTCCCTTATATTGGTTGCTTAAGCAACCATTCGGGTTCCCGTGCCACACAGTCTATGGTTTAAGTCAAAATATTAGCAGGACAACAAGAATAGCCACCAAAGGCAAAATGTCCTTTTTAGTACTAGTTTTCAAAAGGGCGAATTTGGGAAGGCACACAAGATGTTAGAAGGCCAATAAGTGATTATCTGTCAGCTGGTTGTTTCTAGTGACTGTGAAAAAGTTGCGCATAGATGGCATATAAATAGCGTTTTCTGTGAACGAATATTAGAAGAATATAGCATAATACAGCTTTTCCGTACCTTTTACCAGTCCAAACGTAGTAATGCAGTAAACATGATGGGTTGACCTTACAAGTTCAAGGCTAGAAGGTCTACATTCACTGTACAATATATTTGTCACGAGATTGTGTGGACCATTTAATTTCTTCAAGTTTTCTTCTTCTTGCTTCGGTACAGTTCCAGGTATTTGGTGATTTTCGATGGGTTTAGACACTGTACTGAACTCTAAAAACTGGTGGTTATTTGTGGAATTTTGTATCGTGTAGTTGAGTGAATGAGTTTGTTTCAGGAGAGCAGGGTTTCTGAATGCCGACACCCGTCATACTGCCAAAAAGGAATTTGGTTGGTTGCAACGTGAAAATAATAAAGTGACATTTTGAGTTATAGGAGACGATTGTTTCAAGGACTGAAATCGAGAGGACAAAAAGCGAATGTTTGGAGCCATAACGGAGTTGGTGAACATAGAGGATCCACCTAGAGGAGTTGGAAAACCCTGATTCCAAATTAATGGTGAACACGGACTACGGAATCTTGAGGGAACCAATTGTTGGTCACTGCCTACCATGAGACTGCATCTCCTGGTGTCGCTCCACTGCCTTTTGGATTAGACCTGTAGGTGCAAGGCTCTTGGTGTGGCCCCCTAAGAAGACCACCTGCCTCGAGTGAACAATATGACGCATATATATTTGGTGCCTTCGTGCACCAACAATAATGTTTTAAGTAAATAAATGAAAATTTCAGAGCTATCGATTGTGGTCATTTCGGCTGAAAGAACATCCTGAATGGGTACAAATCTTAATGAGGAAAAGCGGGAACGTACCTAGGTGTCCGTGGTTTGGCTTACTTAAGGTGTTGTATGTCATTGTCAAGTAACCTCTTATTTTCGTATAGCTCAACCAGAATAATCTCAGGTTCTGGAGTGCTTTCTCATGAAAATTGTGTTTCAGACCAATCACCTACTTTGTTGCCCGTCTCCGTCCTCGATCTAGGTTTAACTCTCTTTCAATATGAGGATAAGTTATGACATTTAGAGCTTCGAGATGGGGGCCTCCGTTCGTCCTAAACTGTGTTACGAACAGCCCAGAGGTGATTGAGTCGAATCATCTATGAGTAAAGTAGAGAGTCGCATTGGCCTTAACTACTTCCCTCGTGTAGCTTGAACTGATGTCCAGATCCTCTGTGGTTGCAAGCCCGAGATCTTTTTCCGAAAAAACACCCGGGAACGGGGTTCCGTGGGGAGTTTGTGCTTTTTCTTAAATGAGGCAGAATAATCATGGCATGAAATTTCGATAGATTAAGATTTAACCAATTGTCTACTGCCCACCCCTCTATTGTTGTATGATCATTTTAAAGTTCGAATGAGTCCTTTTCGGCTTTTACAGGCCTTCAGATCTCTGCGTAGACCACATAAGTCAGTATCCCCGAGCTAATTTTATCTGCCTTATTGTTGATGAAGACTAGAAATATGATCGAATCAATGATTGTTCTTTGAGAAACATCAGGTTTCGTGGCCTGACAACTGGCTTATACTCTATTTACCTTGGTCGGAAACACCCTGTTTTCTGGATGGTTTCGGGGTCAGGTTAAAAGTTGATCAATGAGGTCTCTCTTTTAAACCCTTACTATGGGGAGTACATGAGGTACTATATCAAAGGTTTTGCGAAATCGAGGGACATCTTATGGTACCAGCAAGTCGTCTGGCTTTCCCTTATTATGAGGAAATCAAGTGCACATGAACTGCCTTTCCCGAATCAGTGTTGGGATTAGTGGGAGGTCTCTTTTTTTCGCCGACTCTCTCATTTGCTTATTCACTAGTCTTTCCAATACTGTTACCACTATTTGGTCTTCAATAGGCTGAGTTATTTCTGTCACCTTTGAAGGTTCAAGAGATAGTGGCCTGCTTACATTCTTGCCTAAGTTGGTGTGAATCCAGTCATTACGTCCAAGGTTTTACTCGTTCTCGTTATTGAAGCACGGCATATCGATTTATTTTCAATTTAAGAAACCAAATTAACAATAAAACCAAACTCCAATTTAGGTACCAAAGTTTATTTTCAATTTACAACTAGTCGATCCAAATGTAGTTCTAACAACAATAATTATAACAATTAAAAAACAAACCTTCAATGTTGTATGTTCCCGGAGCAAAAAACCCCCAGATATCAAACCAAAGACAAAGAGAAACCAAAATGTCCGAAAATAATGATATAGACAAACAAGTTCAGAAGTTCAGTAAAACAGATACATCCGAAAACACAGTGACATTAGTAATATTTAATATAAAGGTTTTAACCAGCCTAATGTTTTCAGTTCTCCCGTAACACCAGAGATTACCTGGACAATTCATACACAGATGTCTGATGTCCTCCCCCTCCCAACTTTGAAGCAGCACCCACGGACCTCCCAACCAATGTTGGCCTAACAACAGTTGACTAGATAACCATATCCATCAGACAAATCAAGGGCAGCAAAGCAGCAGGATCAGACAGCATTCCAGCAGAGGCACTGAAAGCAGACGTGGCGGCAACTGCAGGAAGGTATTGAAGGCAGATGCGGCAGTAAATGCGAAGATACTCCACATTCTCTTCCGTAAGATTTAGGATGAAAATTAAGTACCAACAGAATGGAAAGAAGGCTTCTTCAGTACTAAGGCGTGTCTGAGAACACAGTCAATATTATACGGAATTCCTATGATGGATTAAGCTGTAAAATCATGCAGCTCACAGCTCGCAGAGTCGTCCAAATCAAAGACCGGTGTCAGGTAAGGTTGCTTACCCTCACCCCTTCTCTTTCTTCTGGTGATCGACTGGATTATGAAGACGTCAACATCTGAGAGGAAGCATGGGATACAGTGAACAGCTAAGAAGCAACTGGACGATCTAGACTACACAGTTTCGGCTCTTCTACCGCACACGCAACATCAAATGCAGGAGAAGGCAGCCAGTGAGGCAGCAGCAGTGGATCTCAACATACACAAAGGGAAAAGCAAGATTCTCCGATACAACACAGCACGCAAGAATCGAATCACACTTGACGGATAAGATTTGGAAGATCTAAAAGCCTTTACATATTTGGGAAGCATCATTGATGAACACGGTGGATCTGATGCAGATATTAAGGCGCGGATCGGAAAAGCAAGAGCAGCATATTTACAGCTGAAGAACATGTGTAAATAAAAACAACTGTCAACCAACACCAAGGTCAGAATTTTCAATGCAAATGTCAAGACAGTTCTACTGTGTGGCACGGAAACTCGGAGAGCTGCGAAAGCCATCACCCAGAAGATACAAGTGTTTGTTAACAGTTGTCTGCGCAAAATACTTCGGATCTGTTGGTTAGCAACAACCTATTATGAGAGAGAATAAAGCAGATTCCAGTGGAAGAAGAAATTAAGAAGCTCTCGATGTGGATAGGACACATTGAGGAAATCATGAAAGTGCATGACTAGGTAAGCTCTTATTAGAATCCTCAAGGCCAAGGGAGAAGAGGAAGATCAAAGAACACATTGCGTCGAGAAATGGAGACAGACCTGAGAAGAATGGATGACATTGGATAGGTCCAGGACAGTGTGGGTTGGAGAATGCTGGTCGGCGACCTATGCTCCACTGGAAGTAACAGGCGTGAGTAAGTAGATCATGCTTATCGTTCATGCACTTTAAACTATTTACTATGTTTCAAGCAGTCTCTAGCTAGTTTTTTGCTGTAACACTAATAATAATAATAAAAAAAATTTATTCTCAAATAACACTTTGTTACATGAGGCATGCCAGTTTACAGACAAGATCAAATTGATACAAATGACACAATATCCACTGTAGTAAATTACATAGCTGGGTTGATAATTTATAAGATAGGAATGTAGACGGTTTTAACCAGTACCACAGTTGGCGCACTTCATGAAAGTTGCGTTGCAAATGTGCGACTGATGGTCAAGGATAGGTCCACTGAAGGTGGGAGCTTCTAAATGTCGCAACCTTATGTCCCTTTGGAATGTCTAAGGTTTTGAGGATGGTGCAGGATAAAATCTTTCGTTCCATATCACAAGAGGGCTGAAAGAGAGAGCAAGTAAAAGAAAGGACGAGAGGCAGAGTAGCCAATATTCATGAAGGAACGTTTAAGGTATGATGACTTAGTCTAATTTCCTTTTATTAAGGTATTTGTTAAGAAAGAGCATTTTACTAGGTTAAAGAAAATAAGTGTTAACAAGGTGTTAATGGACATACAACTGACAAATGGAGGCAATTCTGAAAGGAGCTGAGAGTATGGGATTATGCGTGGTAATAAAATAAAATATAGTGCTAGAAACAGTATTGTGATATACAATTGGTTATCTTCCTTTTATTATCGAAGCTATTAGAGCTCCTTTCGCTTTTTTTGTATTATTATTTTTTTCAGGTATTATAGGGTCTTGAGTAGGCTTCGTATATTAAGGAATTGTCTGGTTTGCTTGTAATAGGATTTCTGGGTAGGAAGTGAAACCAATTCAACGTTCGTAACACGATTTAAAGAGTTATTTTGCGTGATAAATCAGCATCAATACCATAAGTTCGTGAAAGCAAACTGTTTAGTACCGTTACAACAGCCAAACTTAAACAGGAGGGGCATGTCAATTTATCCGGCTTTTTTCTCAGGCGGATGACTTTGCAGTTAATGCTCAGCATACCGCATGCTCTAGGGCAAATATCCCTTAGCTTAGATGAGTGTGTGCGGTCGTGGAGATAGTACGCAACTGCACTGAAACAGAATATCACTCTTTTCGTCACTTCTGCAGCCACAAACTCAAAAATACACTCAGCTTTAGTGGGCTGTTCAAGACTTTTATCAGTATTAAGGCCCATTATATGTGTGAGGGGCGCTAATTGGTAAGGTCTGCCGTTAGTTTCGGCCAGAGAGTTTCGTAACTGACGGATGTTAATACTTTATCCATCAGCATTTGGGTATGTATGAGATAAACTAATAAACTCTTTGGTCTTTGAAATTTTGGATTTTGGCGTTAGTAAAACATTCTATGTGGTAGACAATGTCGACCTTTCGATTCAGGTGGGTATTGTGATGTTTATGTCAACCAGTCTTACCGTTGGCACACTGCACGGAG